GCAAGGCGGTGGGCTTGGGTCTGGTCTGTGTGTGTGTGTGTGTATGTGTATGTGTGTGTAGCAGAAGGAGACGGAGCCCTGGTGGTGTGGTGGCTAACACGTTGCACTGCGAACCACAGGCCAGCAGTTGGAAACCACCAGCTCCCCCACTGGACAAAGAGGAGACTTCCGACTCCCAGGCATTGTTAAAGCCTGGAGATTCCCAGGGGCAGGTCTGTCCTGTGGTCTTCCTGCTCGGGGGTAGGAGTGCGGGCTCGGTGGTGGGAGGGAGTCTGTGGGCTGCAGAAGGAGGCGCTGTGGCTGGACGTCTACATCAGAGAGGACCAGTCAGAGAGGACTGTCTGCTAACAAGCACAGGGCAGGGCTCTCCCCAGGCCAACAGAGTGTCCACTTCCTGTTCCTGGCATCCTGCGTCTGGGCAGAGCCGGGCAGCAAGGAAGGAAGGTGCAGGGAGCAATGGGGAGGGTGGACGGTAATGAGTGGACCGTGGCCTCCCTGAAGGACCAACTCAGTCCGACAAGAGAGACCACCCGGCCATTCCTTGGACTCGGCACGGCGGGGCTCCACAAGCCCCCAGGATGGACCCTTCCCCAGCACGGGGCTTCCTGGCCGGCCAGGGTGGGGGTCAGCGAGAGGGGTGTGATGGGGAGTGTCAACTAGGCACTCGTGGGTGGGGGTAGGGGTGGAGCCCCACCCACCCAACAGGCTGCAGCCTCCGATCTAAGAGTGAGAGATCTGCTGGCTGACAGTGGATTCATCTCCCCCTGCACCTATCAGCCCAGGACCCTCCTGCTTCCCCAGCGGGTGGGCTTCCCCACCGTCAGCACCCGCAGAGACACAGCTCAGAAGCCTCCTGCTTGCATCTGACCCGCAGACTTGACCGCTCCTGCAACGGTGTGGGCCCTGTCCTGCTTCAGATCCACACACACACACAAACACACACACATCTGCGTGATGGGCGTCGCTTCTAGAGAGTATTCAACCAGACCGTAGACAGACACACACACACACACACACACACACACCCTGTGTGACGGGCGTAGCTTCTAGAGAGTATTCAACCAGACCGTAGACATACAGACACACACACACACACACACACACACACACACCCTGCGTGACGGGCGTCGCTTCTAGAGAGTATTCAACCAGACCGTAGACAGACACACACACACAGACACACACACACACCCTGCGTGGCGGGCGTCGCTTCTAGAGAGAATTCACCCAGACCGTAGACAGCCAAATCCTCTGTGCTCATCACGACGGGGGTCTGGGAAGCCGACGCCGGCAGGGAAAGGCACCCACGGTTACGAGACACAACTAAATCTTAATACACACGCTCCGGGCTGGACACGGTCCCTCCACTCAACCCCTTAAGTGGACTGTCCCGAAGGAGCAGCCACGTAAGATGCTCCATTCCTGTGTCTGCTCCCCACCTCCCCACGCCTGGAGGTCACCTGTAGATGAGGGCAGTCACGCTCTACGGCCTGCCCCGGTCTGAAGCCCAGCACTTGCCCCTGACACTGACCTTAGAGTGTCCACCTGGGGAGGGCTTGGGGACAGACAGACTAGGCCCAGCTGCTGACTGTCCGTTGCCCGCTATCCCGTTACCCATTTGCTCTGTGACATGCGCACTCACTACATGAATGCTGCTGGAAGAGGTGGAACCCCCTGATGATAGCCCCCTGGAAAACACCTTCTCTCTCTCTCGATCCTGTCTCTGCTACTTTCCATAACCCGAAGGGCCCAGTGGACTGTTGGGGGTCCGTACCCCGACAGACCAGGCTGCTCCGTGTGCTGCCAGCCAGGAGACCGCCCGTCTAAAGCAGCTATTGCAAACCCCCAGCACCCGGCGGGAGGAGGAATCCCCCCACCTGGAGGACCCGCCCTTCGGAAGGAGGCTTATGATGAGCAGAGAGGATCGCTCAGAGGGAGTTTAAACCAGAGGGGGTGCGGGCCGCTGTGCTCTGAGTTAAACATCCGTCCATGGCTATTTTAGACTGGGGGGCAGGGGGACCCTCCAGTCTCGACCACGGAGACAGGGGCTAAGGAGCGCATTCAGAAAGGCAGGTTTTCTTTCTCCGATTCAAAGCACAACGGCCGTGGCCTGTCCCTCCCGCGAGGCTTTTAGAAAGGGAGCCACTGGGGTGAGCTTGGCAGGGAGGCCCGGCTCCCCGTGCTTGGCACCGGTGCCCCCGCGGTGACAGCCCTGCTGCTGGGCCCCGCTCGGGCCTCCGCCTTTGGCCTGAACACGCTCGGCAGAGAAGCCCGGGCAGGAATACATGCCGTTATCTGAGCTAAAAATAAGAGCAAACGCAGTCTTGGCGCCTGGCCCAGGCCCGCGCCGTCCCTGCCCACCGGCGAGAAGAAACGGGGGGATGGTGAGCCCGGGGCGATTCAGAAACAGCGTTCTGCTTCCCGCAACCAGGATTTACTCCCACCCCTGACCCCTGACCCCCAGGCCTCCATGCACAATCCTTTCACGGAAGCACGGGGCCTCTGGCAACGGGACTCTAAAGAGCATCAAGAGGCAGAGGGAGGGCTCGAGGTGTGTGCAGGCCGAAGGAGGGGCCGTGGAATGCTCCCTGTGGGCCGGTGGATGCACAGTAGGACCGGGGAATAAAGGAAGCCCATCACTCATGCCCTGTGACTGTCCCTCCCAGAGGTCGGGAGGGACGCTCCGTCCACTGGGCACAGGCTCCGTCTCAAATGCTTGAAGACACTGCGTCGGCCACATGTTAAGTCGGGGGCTTAAGATGCTTCTGAGGGAACTGATCACGGAGACCCGCCGTGGCAACACGGAACTCAACTCCCTCCCACGGAGTCGACACCCGCGGGGGTCCGAGACTGTCACCCGTCACGGGCGCTGACAGCTTCCTCTTCCTCCCGAGGAGCGGCTGGTGGTTTCCAACTGCTGACCACGTGGTTGGCAAGCCAGTGTGTAACGCAATCTGGCGCCAGGGCTCCCCAGGAGGTGGACCCCGAACAAGCTCCCTGCCATCGAGCCCATGCTGATTCAGAGACCCTGCAGGACAGGGCAGACCTGCCCCGGTGGGTTTCCGAGACCCGGGCTCTTTGGGGGAGTGCAAAGCCCCGTCTTTCTCCTGGGGGAGCGGCTGGGAGCTTCTAACTGCTGACGCTGTGATTGCAGCCCAGCTCGGAACCCCAAGGCCCCCAGGGCTCCTGGGACTCACAGGGCGCCCACAGGGGGTCTGCAGGGATACACATGTCCACGGGCTAGAGAGCCTCCTGGATTTCAATGGGCACTGAAAACACACAAAGCTCCCGCCACCGTAGTCGATTCCCACTCAGAGACCCCGGAGGGCAGAGCCTCTCCCTCGCGCGGCTGGTGGGCTTGAACCCTGGACCTGGTGGGTTTGAACCTCGGACCCCACAGGGGCTCCTCAGACTCGCCGCTCCACAGCTCCACTCGCACTGCCATGCAGTGGACACAGGGCATCGCCGAGACCCCGCAGGACGGGGTGGACGGCCCCGTGCTTTTCCCAGATGGTCGCTCTGCAGGGGACCAGACGGCCTCCTCTTTCTCCCTCGGAGCTGCTGCTGGTTTTGAACTGCCGGCTTTGCAGGGAGAAGCCCGATGCACGGCCCACTACATAGCCTGGGCTCCTTTCATTCATTAGGAAGACTCACACACACACATACATACACACACACACACACACACACACACACACACGAGTCTGGGGAGAAACCAGAGCCCTGACCACTGCCCTCGGGGATGCTGCGTGGTGCAGCCCCGGGGGAACCTCGGGAGGTCCCGCTCCGGGCCATGTAGGGACTGGCCGCGTGGCCCAGTGATCTCGGCCCTGGGAATGAGCCCAGCAGAAACAGAGGCAGAAACACAAGCAGGAACCAGCCTCCCAGGGCTCATGGGGGCCATGAGGGCTGCAACTGGACACCAGACACAGGCCCACGGGGCAGAACCGCCCACAGGCCACGCGGCCCAAATATCAAGAAGAGAGACATAAGCCCCAGTGCAGGCTGACGTGGAAACCATCCTTGGAAGCAGTGTCCTGGGGTCTTAGGACCGCAGTGTTTCGACTGCTGTGGGCCCGCTCACAGCAGCCGGATGGACAGCTGACTGGATCACCGCTCTGTCTGGGCCACGGCTGCAGCCACTGTGCCCGTCCGTCCGTCCTGTTCAGGGTCTGCCTCTTTTCCCAATGCCCCTCTCTCTACCAAGCAGGATGTGCTTATTTAGTGCCCGGCTCCCTGGCCCCCCCAATAACATGCCCGCAGGAAGTGAGGCTTGTTGGGGTGCCCACTCCCTGCCGTGGGCGTGATGCTGACGGACAGCGGCCCCCGAGGGCAGAGTAGAGCTGCCTCTGTGGGTCCCAGGTCTGCCACTCTTTACGGGAAGAGCGAGCCTCATCCTTCTCCCTAGGAGCCGCTGCTGGTTTCGAACTGCTGAGCTGGCCGTCAGCAGCCCAATGCATAACCTGCCGGGCGGCCGGGAGAGCTCAGATCTTCTAGAGAGTCACAGGACAGACAGAAGGACAAGGTTGTCTGCTCCGTCCAGACTTGGGGCGTCGGAAAGTCCCAGGGGCTGCAGGGAGTGGACTCGGGGGCAGTGGGTCAGCGAATGGACAGAGAGCAGGGGCAGTGGGTCGGCATGGGCACGAGGTCAGGGGAGACGTTTCACTCCGCTCCACCCAATAGGGGGGCCCGGTGGTGCATCCCGGGGGGTGTGGGGACTGCAAACTCCGAAGTCAGCCGTTGGAAACCACCAGGGGCTCCGAGGGAGAAAGAGGAGGCTCGCTGTTCCTGTAAAGAGTTGCAGACGTAGGAACCCACAGAGGCAGGTCTACTCTGTCCTCAAGGGCTGCTGGGACTTGGAGTTGACTTGGGAGCAGAGCTGAGTGAACTCCCCCGGGAATCGCTGGGCGGAAGCTCAGGCGGGAGTGCCCGGAAGGCCCGAGGTTCAGGGCGTGGCCGGCCGTCTGCCTGCACAACCCTCACCCTGCCTTCCAGCCAATGCTGACTCACAGCGACCCGGCCGTGAGGGCAACTTTTTATTATTATTAAATCCTTTCCCTGGAGGCTCTGACATCTCTTGTCACAATCCATCCATCCAGCTATTGTGTCGAGCACATTTGTACCTATGCTGCCATCATCATTTTCAAAGCACTTTCTTACCACTTGAGCCCTCCATACCGGCTCACTTCCCCTCCCTGGGGCGGGTAAGGGAGCGGGTGGCTCTTTAAGGGAGAAGAGAGCTCTATCTTCCTCCTACGGAGCAACTGCTAGTCTTGAACTGCCGGCCTTGGCCATGGCAGCCCCACACGGAACCACCACCCCGCCGGCGCTCCCACAAACACGAGCTCCCACCTCCATGGAGGCAGTGCTGGCTCAGCAAGGCCCTGTGGGCTTCCCAGGCTGGACCTGGTCACGCGAGTAGACAGCCCAGTCTTCGTCCCCGCTATCTAGCCGCCCTTGAACACCCTGGGGTTGCAGTTCCCCGACAGCGCACTAGGGGCCCCACGGATCGGGCGTTGGCTGGGCATCAACGGGGTACAGACAGTACCTGGTCCTCAGGTGAGCCAAAGGGGTGAAGGCCATGACTGTCAGCGCCAAGGTTGGACGTGTGCTGACCAGGCAGCCAGGAAGACGGGCCTGGCGATTCCCCCACGCCAACCACCAGCCCTACAGAGCACAGCCCTGCCGGGACTGGAGTCCACTCACTCGCAGCACCTGGCTTTGAGCCACGCCCAAGTTCCACGCCTGGATGCACAGGGCACGGGGGCAAGGAGGTCCAAGGTGGCGGGGACGAGCCAGGGTGACCACAGCAGACTGGGCTACAAGCAAGGGTGACCAGAGCAGACTGGGCTGGGCGGGCAGTACCTGTCGTCGGGCAGTGGGGAGCCGGCCAGCTTGGCCACCGTCGGGAAGATGTCCATGTTGCTCGTGGGCTCGTGGACCTCCTGTCCAGCAGGGATGACGCCAGGCCAGCGCAGGATGCCTGGCACCCGGATGCCCCCTTCCCAGTTGTTGGCCTTTCCTCCTGGAAGGACGAGAGAAGCAGGTGGCTGAACTAGCCTCCTCCTGGGGGCTCGGCTAGTGACGGACGGACGGATGGACGCCCTGCTGGACCGAGGTGCGCTGCCGCCGTGAGCAGAGCGGCCCTTCTCTGAGGGCGTGGGCTTCCACGCGCGTGTCCCGGGGGTGGCTCACCTTTGTAGATCCCGTTGCTGCCTCCGTGGTGCTCCCCTTTGGTGGTCACTTCCTCCACGTGCGCCCCGTGGTCGGAGGAGAAGTAGACGAAGGTGTTGTTGGCCAGCTTTGTGTCATCCAGGACGTCCAGGACCTGCCCTGCGGGGGAGGAGACACGCCGCATGAACACAACCCCCCTCCTCTCCCGAGAAGGGGGAGGAGCCGGCTCCCAGAGCCACGCCCACATCACGTGGTGGGCAGGTGGAAGCAGGGGTCGGGTGTGGCACACGCAGGGCCACGGGAGACTCGGCCACGGGAGTCTCGGCCACGGGAGTCACAGCCAAGAAATTGAGCAACCCGTCTCGCTGGGGCGTTCTGCCACGTGGGAGCCACTTGTACGAGCTCGGGAGGCAGGGTTGGGAAGCCGGCCCGAGCCTGGTATCGGCGATGCCCTTGCAGGCCTGGGAGCGCTGAGCCGTGAGCAGGGAAGACGGGAGAAGCAGGGGAGCATTTGAACAACGGCACTGCCAAGGAACGCCGCGCCACCACACGCCGCCAGGTGCGCCAGCACGTCTGGACAGTCCCATGGATGTCAGTGTGGCCAGCCTTCACCTGTCCCACTTAGGACAGGTGACCAGGAGGGTAAGGACACCGGGGAGGGACAGACACACCGTCAATGGCGCAGAGGCCAGTCCAACGTGGAAAGAAGTACGAGCGTGTCCAGCGGCTGCAGCCAATGGACACAGGATGAAGCCCGACGTCTGAGGAGGGAAACATGCCAACAGGCAGCTCAGGAAGACAAGGGAACGGGCGGAGAGAACTGTACCCAGACCCGGAGCGGAAGAACGGCCCAACGGCCCAGGGCTCCAGTCTGTAATTGCTGGGATGTGAGGGACGCGGCCAGCACCCCAGGAGGATGGAAGGGATGCGCAGAGGCGCCGTACCACAGAGAGCCGGTCGGCGCCCAGCCATGCCAGGCGGCAGCACCTGGCCACACACTGTCGGGCTGAAGACGGAAGCCGCAGATGCACTGCAGAAGGCCCTGGGGGAAGCCAGGCTCCGGGCAGCGACGGGTGCCCATTAAGTTGTTTCAACCCATGGACCTGAGCTGGAAGCTCTCCCTGGAGGGCGGCTACCTGGCCAGCTGGCTGGAAGGGACCCACGTTTCTGCTCCATCCTCAGCAGGACGGCCCAGTTGGACTTGCACGACACACCCCTCTCCCCCCCTTGCTGGTAAAGGCAAGGCATTGCTTGTGTTCCCAGTGGGAAGGCCTGGAATCCTGCTGGCTGCCACAAAGGGGGGGACATCAGGGACAGGGACATGCGGGCGCAACTCCCGGTGCTCTTTCTCCGTGGGAGAAAGGCAGGGGCTTCCACTCCCGTAGACACTGATTGTCTCAGAAACCCACGGGGCGGCTCTACCCTGTCCTAGAGGGTCGCCGTGAGTCGGCACTGCCTCGATGGCTGTGAGTGACAAAGTTATGAAAATGTGGAGCCTGCACACAGATCTAGAGGCAGAGCGAGACGAGGGGTACGGCCCGGTCGGAAATCAGGAAAGGGGTGGTGTGAGGCATGGGACGGGTCCAGGTATGGTCCCATCTATGTGTTTAAAAACTTCCATAAGTGTGCTATCTATCCATCCATCAATCCATCATCTTATCTATCCATCTATCATCTATTTATCTATCTATCCATCCATCAATCCATCATCTTATCTATCCATCTATCATCTATTTATCCATCTATCCATCCATCCACCCATCATCTATCCATCCATCCATCCAACCATCTATCCATCCATCATCTATCTATCCATCCATCCATCCATCCATCATCTTATCTATCCATTCATCCATCCATCCAACCATCTATCCATCCATCATCTACCTATCCATCCATCCATCCATCCATCCATCATCCATCCATCCATCCATCATCCATCTATCCATCTATCTATCCATTCATCCATCCATCCATCCATCCATCCATCCATCCATCCATCCATCCATCATCTACCTATCTATCCATCCATCATCTACCTATCCATCCATCCATCCATCCATCATCCATCTATCCATCATCTATCCATCTATCCATCATCTATCAATCCACCCATCCATCATCTATCAATCCATCCATCCATCTATCCATCCATCTATCCATCATCTATCAATCCATTATCTATCTATCCATCCATCCATCCATCATCTATCCATCCATCATTTTTCTATGTACATACACATATGTACACATATATCTACACACACCGGATAGCCCATATCTCCACAAACCTGTCAGCAGGCAGCACAAATCTGTCTGTTCTGACGCTCCTCGTAATTAGCACTGCATCTGCTCTTGGGGCCTTTGCCACGTTCCTAACAGTCGTGGGCCCGCACACTTCATTTCAAACAAAGTCCGCCTTCCCTGTATGCAGGAGCCCGGGGGGTTACACATTAGGCTGCTGAGCCCAAGGTCAGCCGTTCAAAACCACCAGCCACTCCCTGTGGGGAAGACGAGGCTTTCTGCCGGCCCAGAGATGCACGGTGTGGGAACCCCATGGGCAGCTCTACCCTGTCCCCTGGGGTCCCCGAGTCAGAATCCGCTGCATGGAGGGGGTTTAGTCTTGTGCTTCCCGGTGTGTGAAGTGGAATCCGTTGCCCTGGGACAATCAGCCTCAGGCACAGCGGCGACCCTGCAGGACAGAGCGGGGCGGCCCAGAGGATCAGCAGCCCTGCCCTGTCTGGGGAAGCAGGTTGCCTCACCTTACTCTCACACCATGGCTGGGGGGATCAAAATGCCCACCTTTGGGTGAACCATCAAACGGTTTAACTGCTGCCCCAAGGGCCCCCCTTAAAGGTCCGCCAGCCCCCACGGGGCCCGTGCCAGTCATGCCTCCCTTCACTCACTCAGTGGAGTTGGGGGACGCTCTGCTCTGGGCAGTGTGGACAGAGCGCTCCGGCGGCTGCCCACCCAGAACCCAGAGGCTCAAGTCCACCCCGAAGGGCCTCTGAAGGCCTGGTGGCCTCAGTCCCCCAGCAGGCCGCTCACAACCCTGCGGAGCCCCCGTCTGCTCTGACGCACATGGGGTCCGGTTTTGTCCCACAATTCATCCTAACACACTCCCCCCACTCACGATGGCCTTCCACCCCCGTGACCACGTGAGTCCCCGCTCCCCAGGGGGCATTTCCGCCCCCATCCTCAGTGACCCCTGACCCTGCGACACAGGGTTCAACTCCTCGGAAGAAAGGCCTGACACTTGACTCCATCCTACACCCCCAAAACTCGGTCCTTGAAATCCTTACGGGTTCGTGCTCTGCCGCACGCTCACACACAGGTGGCCATCACAGGGACCACCAGCCCACCTCCCCTACCGGCGGACACCACTGACTCCCAAAGCCTTGCCGGCACCTCTGCTCACCCCGACACCACTACACCTTGCCTTTGTCCCCTCGGTGGTGCGGGTCCACCAAGGAGCAGACAGCAGAACCCTTCCGCTAAAACCCTCTGCACCCTTCCCCAGCCCATCAGGCCACCCGACAGCACCCCCGTGCCCACCCGCATGCCCATCCCAGGGTTGCAAACACCATCAGAGCCCCTCCGTCTCCTCCCCGGCCATTGCTACTCCTCAGTGTCTAGGGAGCTAACTTTAATCACCACTACCTTCACCAGGGCAGCATGCAGCACTGGGCGGGCAGAAAGGCGCGAGCCACCAGCTGAGCCCATGCCCACTGCACCCGTGGGCTGAGCACATGCCCACCGCAGGTACGAGATGAGCCCACACCCGTGGCTGGTGGGGGCCAAGCCCACACCCACAGCATGTCCAGGGAGGCCGAGCCTGAAGCATGAACAGGTGGGGGCGGAGCCCAGGCCCAGGCAGGGAGCAGTGGCGGCGGGAGCTGTAGCCAGTGTTCAGACTGGCCCTGCATTCCGTCCTTCCTGAGAGCAAGCTCCCTGGGTCCTGCACGGCTCAGGCTGCCCTTCCAGAATCTCATTTGTAAAGCCCAGAGCCCATTAACCATTTAATTTTTCATAAGATCGATCCGATAAAGGCCTAGCCCATTTCTCTCCGAAAATAATTCTGAACAGAAACATCCCGGGGGAACCCAGGCAGCTGTAATAGCTTTGCTTCTAGAGCAATCTATTGCCGGCCACAGGTCCACACATAAGTTCTCCTTTTATTTATTTTTTTCCCTCCCTTCCCCAGCCAGGCTCCCGCGGTATAATGATATCAATTTATAGAGGATGATAGCTTCGAATTACCAGTTGCGGGCTGCAGGATAGCTTCTAAATGAAATGTTTTATTTCCCCACATTGCTCCCCAGAATGGAACAAATACAGGAAACAAGAACTCTTTGTTATTTAACTGGGGACAAAGAAAGAAACAGGGCTTTCCAGGGGGGCCAAAAAAAAAGCAAGGACTCCCAGGTGAGACTGGCAATCCGCAGGGAGCCGGCTCCCGGCTGGGACCCTCTGTGCTGAGGGTGGGGAGGCTCCTGCAGTGGGAGCCCGGCTTCCAGAGTTGCTTGGACCACCAGCAGGCATGAAGCGACTATTAGCCATTGTTGCTGTGAGGTGGCAGCGGGTGGTTCTGACTCACCTCCACTGGGGAACCCCACGCCCGCTCCTGGGCCACGCTCACCATCAGTGCCACGTGGCCGCCGCCGTGTCCCTCCGTCCCACAAGGCTCGTCCACCTCCCCAAGCAGGGGTGGAGTCTGGCCTGTCCATCAGGCCACAGCCTGGGGGTGGCCCCTTGTGGCCGTGGCCTCCTCATCAGGAGGGTCCTGGGGACCTCCCCCTTCTCCCTCTCTGCCGGCACCTCCCTGCTGACGAATCTGCGGGAGCCCTGTGAGGCGCCCCCGCCATCGGACCCACATGACGCTGCACCCACCGGCCTGTGGTCTCCCTGCAGCCGGCGTCATTGAGCGTGGCTGCGTGAGTCGGAAGAGGGACTCCTATCGGACTCGGGGGCTTGATCCGGACTGGGCTGGGAGGCTTGCTGGATCTGTAACCACCACTTGATAGACAGCTCTTTCTTGGACATATACAGGCGTCCCTGGACCTGTTTCCCATGTCTGCCCGGTCCCACACACATGTCCAAGTCATGCCAGACAAAGTCTCACCATCCTGGCTCCTAAGGAGCATCCTGGCTGAACTTCCCGGGACAGACGTGACTGTCCTTTGGACAGTCCGCAGGGCTCTGCAAGTCGTCCCCAGCACCCTCACTCAGAGGCAGCACCCGTCTCTGGTCATCTGTATGCAGGGTGCAATTCTCGTGTGCCCAGGGGCCGATGGAAAAAAACACCCAGGTCTCAGTCGGGCACCCCCTGACCCTCAGAACGGCACCTCTGCTCCATGACACTATTGAAGACGTGCAGACCCAAACCCCGGTGAGACCATCTCACCCCCATTCGGTGACCACGGGCTGCCAGAAGAGGGGGTAACTAACTGCCACCAAGTCGACGGTGGGTGCTGACTCCCAGGGAGGGACCACTACGACGGGAGAGCCGGCCCTGTGGGCTTCCAAGACGGCAGCTCTTCCTGGAAGTGGGAAGCCCCGTCTCTGGAAGGACCACACCCAGTGTCCATCCAGCGCCTGCCCGTGCTCTGCCCAGCAGCCAGAGCGTCCAATAGCTTGTCAGCACATTTGGGACTGGACAGGACTGAGAGTCAAGGGGGGGCGTCTAGTCTGTCCATTGGCTCATAGCCCATGAGGCTTCTGTGTGGGCGTGGTCTTCTCCCGAGAACCTGGGAACTCGTGTGTTTTCCTTCTTGGAGATGGGAGTCTTCTCTCTCTCTCTCTCTCTCTCTCTCTCTGCTCACTCCCCTGGAGACACTCCAGGGACCAGACCCATGGCACTACGCTGATACACCCGTGCCCTGGGAGCTGGAGAAGGCACGGGGAGACCCCTGCCAGCGCTGAGATGCTTACAAGGCCACGGATCCAAAGACCCCCTGCCCACTGGCCTGCGATCTTCCTGCTCTCCGCGTCATGGCCCGTGTTTCGTGAGTCTGAAGAGGACGTTATAGTCTGGTATCGGACCCATGGGCTAATATCGGACGTGTAGGCTTGGACTGGACTGGGGTGGGATGCTTTCTGAATGTGCACTTACAATTTATCTGAAACTCTCTCTTACCCACACGCGAGTGAGTGTCTATGGAGTTGCTTCTCTGGTCTACCCGGACTGACACACAACACGGCGGCTGCATCAAGGGGCCTCAACAGCGAC